CCCAGGGCAGTACCCGGATCCCCATACATGTCCCCCAGGGCAGTACCCGGATCCCCATACATGTCCCCCAGGGCAGTACCCGGATCCCCATACATGTCCCCCAGGGCAGTACCCGGACCCCCATGCACCTTTTATGGCCAATCACTTGCATATAAGCCCCCTCAAAAGGGACAATCATTTTTGAACGTTCGACCCCCATTGACTTGCATTAGGTTCGAGTTCGTATTTGAACTTTTCGGCCGTTCGGAAGTTCCAATACGCACCGAACACGGAGGTGATCGGCCCATCACTACTCCTAATCGCAGAAGTAAAAATCCAACTTGAGATGTAAAAACTTCCCATAAATCCGGTATCATTCTCTCCCTAGTGCTCCCGAGGTTTGAGGTTGCAATTGATGCTCCAAGTAGCATTTCAATCCTAGATAACAACGTCACCATATCAACATATGGACGGTGAGTGACCCTCCTCCCTTTTTCTCTCCCCTCTTCTCTCTCTTGTCTGGCTGCCTCTTCTCTCCTCTTCTCTCCTCTCACTATCCTTACTCTTTTTCTCTCCCTCCTTTCTTTCTTTCTTTCTTTCTTTCTTTCTTTCTCTCTCTCTCTCTCTCTCTCTCTCTCTCCCCTCTTCTCTCTTTTTTCTTTTCCCTCATCTGTCTGTCTCCCTTCTCTCTCTCTTTTCTCCTCTCTCTCCCCCTTTCTCTGGCTCCCTCTCATTATCTCTCCTCTCTCTGTTATGCTGTGAAAACCTGTACAGCTATTTGTTTGTCTGATTCTTATAATAAACTGACCCAGTAGTAGTATAAACCTGCTTTTACTATACAACAATGCTACATACACAAACTACTTAGTGACACATAAAACAATACAAACTGCTAATACATAGATGCACATGCATACGCTATCTATCCTTTCCTGGCACATACAATGGTTTCTATAAGAGCATGAAAGCCCCTACAGGTCATCAGTTTAGAGATACGCGTAAATATTGGCCCTAGTTATTGCTTTCGCTCTGACGTGTGCGGCGATGCCCGGTGATGCCCATGTGTATCGCAATCATCATTTTCGTACGTAGGCACACCCAACGCATGTTTACTTGTAGACGCGGGTGCTCGCGGGGGACTTTAACATTTTTTTTTGCCCAGTTCTGCACTGTGTCTCTGTGTGGAGGTGGCCATGCTGGTTGAAGTGGGTTTTGCTTCCTCGCGTCAGAGCCTCCAGCAAGGAGAACTGTTATCTGCATAGTAGTGACATCAATAAATATCATTCTAGTCAAAGGCATCAGTGCCTCGAATAACCTTACACTGCAGATTTACAGCAATGAGGCTGCAAAACACAAGTGCCTAGACACAGAAAGTGCGCAGGAAGAAACATTTTAGACAAAAGACCCAACATTTTTGGGGAACATTTTAGGCACAATGATCATTTCTAAATGTTTGCTATAGCAAAGTAAATCCTTACTTTATGAGTTAAATTTCACTTGAAGCAAGCTGAAGCCCATATGTACAGTACAAGGGAAAAAAACACAAACAGGGGGCGCCTTTCCTGGTGCAGACAAATTTATTAAGATCAGGATCAAAGGTAGATAAAAAAACATAGTCACAAAATTCAGCATGATAATGATCTGATGAAGGGGGCGTGACCCCGGAAACGCGTCATCACACAGTCTCCACGATTGTGCAGCTTCCATAGACTTTCTGTTGGGTCCATGGACTTACTTTATATATCATTATCATGCTGAATTTTGTGACTATGTTTTTTTATCTACCTTTGATCCTGATCTTAATAAATTTGTCTGCACCAGGAAAGGCGCCCCCCTGTTTTTTTCCCTAGATTTTGCGGTCTCCCTGGCTGGTTTGGGGACAGCATCCTGCAGACCTTTCTACACACGTGCTTTTTATTATTTATATATTTTTTAACAGACTTGTTTCTGATTACACTTGTGCTTATATTGGTCCATACTGGCGGAGTAGTCCTTTTTGGCGCTTTTCTGTGTTCATATCTGTACAGTACAAGGCCTCAGAGTAATAAAGATGGTTATCAAATGTGGTTAAACAAGGTCTTCCTGCTTTATGTGCTAAAATGCCCCTGCTGTTTCTTTACAGGTACACATACGGAGAGAAGGTCCAGGGAAATGTGACCCTTAAAGTCTGCCAGAAGAAAAAAGCAAAGTACAGCTGGTGGTGGGGGCCCACGCTTGCAGAGAAAGAAACAGAAACAAAAGATCTGTGCTACAATGAGGTGGTCACGGTGAGCAACAATACTGAGAAGTAGGGAGGCACAGATACTTTTCGAGTACTAGTGCAGATACTCTGCATTTTCATGAGTACTCCCGGGGTTGCAGCGGTTGCAGCAGGGACCGGGCTCTGGCGCTCCATCACTGTCCTGAAATCATTAGTCTGTATTGTTTTAGAAAAACTGTCACATGACAGTAAACAAAAATGTATCAGTACTCGTACTTGGAAGTACTCGGCAAGTACCAGTACTCGTACTCGCAAAACTGGTATCTGTGCATCCCTTTATTTATATTTAAAAAAACAAAATCATACAATAAAACAGAGATGTACAAATCCCTGGAGCTCCGTGTGCTCCTTACACATGACAGCGGCCTCCTAACTTTTTAATTTTTCTCTAGTCTAGTCTTGGAGCTCAAAAGTATCGGTACTTGTACTCGCACTTGTACAGATACTACTGTACTTGGTATCTGTGCAACCCTACTGAGAAGGGATAAGAACAAATTCTTGAGTTCAGTTGTTCCACGACGTCTGCTCAGCAGATTAAACTGTATTTAAATTTAAGAAGAAAAATGTTATGTATTGCAGATTATCAATCCTTAGATGTGGTGACCCCCCCCCAGCCCCCATATACCTTGTGGTCCTCAGATATGCTGACTGCACTCCTTCCCCCATACCTTCCAATCCTTAGATGTGGTGACCCTACCCCCAGCCCCCATATACCTTGTGGTCCTCAGATATGCTGACTGCACTCCTTCCACCATACCTTCCAGTCCTTAGATGTAGTGGCTGTACCCCCATATCTTCCAATCCTTAGATGTGGTGACCCCCCCCCAGCCCCCATATACCTTCCAATCCTTAGATGTAGTGGTTGCATTATTTTTCCTTTTTCAGGCTAAGAACATTTTATGGAAATGCAGATATAGAGAAAAACTGCTGACCCTTGCCAAAAAAAGAATGCTGATATATTGATCAGATTCATCAGTTTTTTAAAACTCTCTTATGTGACATACAAAACCCTTTATCTCTATGTTATGGAGATGAGGAGAAGTGTGTTCTGTAGTCTCAGGATATTTTCTGTCTTGGGGTAAGAACACTGGGTGGTGCTGGGACCTGCAGCTCCAGTACTCACCTGCGGGTGTGCCCCAGGTGTGAGTGATCATTCCATCACCTGGTACTTCCCGGGAGAGTATTTAGGCCCTCCCTGCAGTCAGGAAGATGGCTCAGTATTGTGTCGCCTTCCCCTGACTGACTCCCATGTCCTGTGCCTTGCTACCTGAACCCTGCTACCTGAACCCTGCTTCCTGAACCCTGCTACCTGAACCCTGCTACCTGAACCCATCTGCAAACCTGTCACTGACCCGGCTTGTACCTGACCACTCTTCCTGTATCCTGAGGCCTGCTGTCTATCTGCAGTCTTGTTACCCCTCCTTGTTGCTGTTCCCCTGGCTGTAGGTGTGTTTGTTCCAACCGTGGTTTTTGTTATTTCACTGCTAAACATGTGGGGGGTTGATGGGGTTTGTAGTTTTGTTTGCTGTGTACAAATAAACTGTGTGCATATAACCCTATCCAGTGTGGGCATATCAATTTGGTCATCCTGCGTGGGTACCTGCATGTGGTGTGAGGACGCCTGTGCATGGTACCCTGACAGAGAGAGATACAAAGTAACATTGTTTATAAACATTGATCAGAGGGAGATAGAGAGATACAAAGTAACATTGTTTATAAACATTGATCAGAGGG